ATGTCAGGCAAATAAAACTCTTGTTCCAGTGATCGCATCTTCTTCCTCTGAAATTTTTTATTTCTTTACGATCCCTGGATAACCTTATTTAATTTGTAGGGCAAAATTATGAATGCCAAGAACATGTATGTATGAAAAGACTTTAACACTTCAAGACAAAATAATAATTCACTACTGGGCATAGCCAAACTTACCACATGATAATTTTGACGAGGCGCATGACGATCTCATTTAAAATAACGAAAAACTGCACCATAATGAGGGCTTGTTCTCCCATTTGCCCCATTATCAGTCCAATGGCTATTGAGAAGGTTACAAGCCCTAAAATATAAACATAATAGATTAGTCTCAAGCGCTCATGGAAAATCTTCTCAAGAAACTTCCTTTTAATTATCTTATTAAAATAACTTCCAAAGATATCCAGATATGTTATGTACGTATCTATTATGAGGCTTAAAATTTCAATGTTTCTTTCCTCCCTCAACTGACTCGATACGTTTCCCCAAGCTTATGCTTTAAATGCATTATAGATGGCTGAGATGCAACCGCTTGGATAACATTTCCATCGGCTGCCTTTATAGTTATTTATCTTTGATTTAGGCTGTCAAAAATGAGACGAAAAGAAGGTCAGATGCGAAAGGGAGAAGTACATTGGAGATTCTTCCGAAAATTTGAATGAAGTATTTTTTATCCTTCCGAAAGTAAATAAAGTTCTAATTGAGTGCTTCAGTTATTTCTGAATCTAATAGGCTAAATTCTACTGTAAACTTTGAAACCTTTAAAATGGCATTTAAACTGCACAGTTAAAGACCGCCTACCAAGGACATTTGTGCTTGACTTGTAGACCGGGACGATAATCTCCTCGCGAGAGTTGTGAGTCATGTTAGGCAGGCTCCCGTTTCTTCTTTTACGAGTAATATTTCTGTGTTCACTCTGTTGTTGTTCCAAACAGGCCTGGACAATGTTTTCGGGAAATATATTTCTGAAATGTGACGAACAGTCAAGCTTAATGCAGAAATATAACAACTGATGCCTTTAATAATTCGTACAATTTTGCACTTTTACGCCGTAAATAATCCGGGAAAACAGAAATTT